AAGGCCCCGGGCCCCGTCTCATCCCCCGCAGCACGGGCGGAGCGCCCGCGAGAATCCAGCCGGCCCCCGCACGACCGGGGCCCCATCGAGCCCGACCTTGAACGTCTCCACCGCCTCTGGGCAGCCTGGACCCACTCCAGCAGGTCCCCGTGCCCCCGGTGTTGAGGGCTCCGGAGCTGCACACAGTCCTCCAGGTGATCCCCCACCTCCCAACCCCTCCTCACACCGGTGTGTGGCAAGAGGCTAAACGGGGAGCAGATCACCACCGCCTCCTGGAGTATTTGACATCTGCACTTCAAAATTACTCCTTGATTTTGAATTTTCCAGACCCAAAAAGGAAAACCCTTTTTCCTTTCCTTTTTTTTTTAAATAAAAAAGGGTGGGTAAACCCACCATCTGCCACCACTGACTTTAACCATGAGGATAGCCAACTAGACTAAATCAAAGATTTAAGCCCCATCAAAGAAATCCCTTCTCATCCTAGTCAGCAATATTTCATAACGTGCCCTTTGTAGCTCTGCAGCCTGCACACAGACTTTCACAGAGGGACAACCAATGTGTTTTCATCTGTGAGAAATATTCAAAGGCTCTCTGCTCCTGCAAGTATTTACTAGTAGGACTGCTTATCAACTCGAAAGTTCCAGCACTTCAGGAAATCTGCATCACACAGCCTGAAAACACAAGCACTCACAGATAAAAGTTGTACACAAAGGCACATAAGGCTTCTTTTTTTGGCAGAGTGAAGGAATTTGCCTTACTCCTTCCAAACAGGGACTTGGTTTGTGCCAGACAGAACACCCAGAAACCAAATGTGCAGCCCCCCAGAGTCATACTAGGTTTTAACCACATACTTTTAGTTCAAAAGCTGTCAAAAATCAGTTAACCCACACACCAAAAGAGGGTTTGGGAAGTATCAGGGAAAGGTCTCTTCTGTTTTGTCTCAGCTAACTGTTCAGAAGACTGGATGATGGCCTCCACCTGCTGTGAAACCAAAGCACTGAGGTGTTCTCTGAAGAAACACCCTTTGCATTCAGTTCCCATCACCCATTGTCCCCGTGTGCTTCAACCAAACGGACTGATATTCTTTGTACAGAGTAATTTTTTAAAGCAAATTATTTTATTTCTCTTACATAATTTCAATAATGTGTGAATAAACTTAAACAGCTGGAACACTAAGGTAATTAAAAAATATCCCTAACAACTGTCCTTTCAAACTTCACCAACAAACGCATGATGAGGGATAAAGAGCTGAATGCAGCTCCAGAAGTCCCAAGACACTTCAAGGGCAGAGTTTGCCCATAAAAAAATAACCCTCTTCCCCATCACTCTACTTTTGTATTAGCTTCTTAGAGTAGTTCTTGGCATGCTGCTTTCGAACCTCCTCCTGTCTCTTGCCAAGTTTAAGTGTGTTGATCAGGTTTAAGGTTTTTTGCAGTTCATGGACAGGCTTGCTTATAAAGCTGCTGTATTTCCTTTTGGGGACAAATTCCAGAGCCTTCTTCCAGTCTCCAGTATCCTTCAAGGTTAACAAAATTTGCATCATTTGATCCAGCGTGAGATTTTTGGCACCGCTGTTCCACAGCAAGTACTTCTCCAAGGGCAGGGCCGCAGTCTCCAGCCCCAGCCGCTTTGCCCGTGCTAAGGAGACTCCTGTTTTTATGCTCTTGTCAACCATCGACCCCACAATGTAGATTTTATTGTGATCAAATGTTTTCATCACCCTGGGAGAATCGGCAGTCAGGTAGATCAGCTGGTGCTTGGGGAAGACCTCTGTGTAGCACCGCTCCGTGGCGGTGACGAGCAGCTTGCCCCAGGCCTCCCTGTAATGCTTGAGCAGCTCCCTATGGTAGAGGCTGCCCTCTCTGAGGTTACACAAGTGGATGTGGAAGGGGTCTGCAGCCCGGCGGTTGCAGCCCTCGCCGTACACTAGCTGTGTCACGGCGTTGGTCAGCTCTCGGGGGGACATCTCCTCCTCATAGGACATGTCAAAGACCAGAGGCTGACCAAAGACCATGGCCTGGGCCACTCGCCAGTTGTACGCCCTGTCCATGGCGCTGGCCTGCACGTACATGAACGAGTCCCTTCTGGTCTCGTCGGCAGTTGGAGCTTCCTTTTGGGATTCCAGCCTCCTCTGCCTTTTCTCATCCAGCTTAATTTTGTCCTTTTTCTTGCGAAGCTCTTTGAGGTACAAAAATTTTAAATACTTCCTTTTGGCCGACTTGGAAGGACATTCTGTAAAGGCTTTTAGCTGTTCGTCAGTGATATTTTCTGGAACTGATCTGCCAGCTAGTCTCCACATGGCCAAAATCTCACGTGCTTGAGCCAAACTTGAAAACTCCTCACTGTCAGAGACCGTCTCACTGACTTCTTCTTGCAGCCCAGCCTTCATTACCTTTTTCCATGCATCTAAGTCTAGCTTTTCTGAGGGACTGCATGAATTATCCTGCTTCAGGCAAAGTGATAAACTCAGAGCTCGGCTGAGTGGAAACAAATCCTTTCTCATCCCATGTTGTGCAGCAAATGGAAGGACAGAACTTGCAATTTTTCTCAGGAATGTATTAGCAGACTGCATACTTAGGCACCTGCTGTGTTCAAACACTTATCTGCAAAACACCAGGAAAAAGGGGAACAGAGTTGTCAGTAATACTGAAGAAAATGCACACAGATTTTCATCCTCGGTAACACTGTTATCACAATTCAAAATGAGGCCAAAAAACCTTTACATATTGTCTGAGTTCTACTTAAATGATCTATATCATACGACAAATAAGAACTTTCACAACTAAATTAAACAAAATGCTGCGTGGAGTCCAAAAATATTTCTATCCAGAGATGCCCACCTGATTTACCTACACAAGATGCTTCATATTGTAACATTTTCCAGAACAACCCTGTATCACAGAAGAAGATCACATTTTTTGCTTCTAGAGTGATGTTTTGGGAAAGCTCTATTTGCAAAATTTAGTACTAAAGTTTGCCCACTTCTGTGCATTTTTCCACATTGCACTGGACCTGCTGAAACCAACAGTGCAATAGTTTTGCTAAGCCAACACTCTGCTGTTGAAGGCACTCTTACATCCCACCAGCCCCTTGTTCCAGCACCCTCAGCAGTGCAACCACTCACATGCCTGCACTACTGGAGACTTGACCTTAGGGACAACTAGCCAGGTGATCAGGAGGTGGAGAATGGAAAAAAAACCACCCTACTTATCATCCCACTCAAACGAGTTTCCACATCTGATGCACCAGACACCTCCTAGAAAGAAGAAATGGAAGAATAAACAACTAGTATAGAAAAAGACCATCTTTTTTTCTTCCTGCTAAATTGCCTGTGACATTGATCTTGGCAACATAAAGGTCAGGATGTGAAACCCACAGTCTCATTAATTTAATACACATTTGTATTTAAACGTAAAAGGTCTCCAGAAAGAAAACCACCAAAGAATGTTTAATATTGCCCTCATTCTACACAAACTTACTTCAGTAAAATCAGTGAAGTTTCAATGTTTGAGAAAACATGATTTGGCCAAAACATAAAAATTAGCTCCAAATTTTGAAAGCAAAATTCATCATCTTTCTAATAACTTACCACCTGAAAAGAACAGAACAAGGTAAATCTAATTTGAGGGTTATATATATGCCCAGATAGAAAGCTACCTAATGAGCAGTGCATTATTAGGAAACATTATATAAACTGGCATGCATTTCATGATACTGTAATTGGTCAAATTTGTGCCTGACCTTTCATTTTATACTGTTATTAAGGCAAAATGAACAAAAAACCCTAAACAATCTAATACTGACGTTAGGAGGAAATTCCTAAGTGTTATAGTAGAGGTGTTCATAATTTCACATGTAACCATTAAACACGCTGGCAAAAGTAATAACCAAAGAGCATGATGCCCAACTTACAGCAATACAGGGATCATTTCCTCAATCAATTTACTTTACTGGAGCTCCAATTAAGTCAATAGTTGAGTGGCAAATTTACACAGCCCGAACACTTAGTAGACAGCTTTTATCAAAGATCAAGCTGCCTTCCAGTGTGTCCAGCACACACAAACACTACCATGTCACTGCTGCAAGAATGACTCCAAATCTCTTTGAAGAACTTAGATCAGTAGGACCAAAAATTTTCTACCTTTTTTTTTTAGGATGACTTCGCTGTAACTAATCCCAAGGGAAAAAAACAAAAGACCCTTGGGTGTTATTTCAGAGGCGGCCTAATGCGGGTGCTGGCGCCGCGCAGCTGCCCGCACACGGCCGCCCG